GAGATTTTTCTGAACTCACTATTAAAAAAACCCACATTGTTCATAACAGAGGCATGGCCATTGGACTACATTTCTGCTAGTATCATTGGAAAAATATTAATTGAGCACTTCTTTGTATAAATCACATTCATAGCAACCATAATTACTTGATGGTTCATTCCATCAATGAGCAATGTAAGCGACTCCTTTATAAAGGGGAGATAAATCCATATCCTCTTCTTTTGTTTAAATGTTAGTGAAACTTGGTTATAACATGCTTTGATCAAAACTAAGGTTTATAATTTTTGTTGCTTAGAAAATAACGTAGAGGCAGCGTTGTCTTCTATTTGTGTGTGTGTGTGTGTGTGTGTGTGTGTGGTATTGGGGGTTGAACCCAGGGCCTCACACATGCTAGACAAGCACTTTGCCACTGAGCTACATACCCAGCCATTCTCTTTGACTTTTTTGACTGTTCAGAGCAAAGACAGCCTATGTGTGAAGCAGCCAGAAGAGGAAGAAAGTCTTGCAGGGTGGGATCATTGTGCAGGATCAAGCATTTATAAAACTATGTGCCACTTGGTGCTGTGGAGGCCGTCTGTCTTTCAGCTGGGACAGAAGTGCAGTTGCACTGCTTTGTGTGAAAGACATGAACAGAGATACTGTGTACTTGGGAAAGGGAAACTGAGCAGGAATAGCATTCTAGTGAATGCTGGCACAGTCTGGGCCAGGATGCAGTGGGCTATTTAAGATTCGCTTAGAGTTATTAGTATTCTTAAGACTGAGTTCTTACCTAAACTGGTAATTGTTTTTTTTTTTTTTTTTGTGTGTGTGTGTGTGTTGATAGTAAAAATTGTCTATTTCCAAAGGGGTTTTTGAGTATCTTCCAGCTTTGGAGAGTTTTCACCAGTCTCCTCTACTATTGTTCCTTTCCTTTCATTGTATGAAGCAAGCCAGATTGTCTGTGTCTGTATCTATCTGTGTATGTATCTGTCTCTATCCAGTTTCTTTTTAGTTCCTTCTGCCTATTTTCATTAATTTAAAATAAGTGTTCTGGTGACTATCATTATGGCTTTAAATATGATCTTTATATCTCTGTTTCTTGATTAAACATCTCAAATAATGTCTATAAGTTTCACACTGTGAGAAATGAGGAAATTAACATGCATCCTTCATTATCTCTTTTCTTCTACTTTATATTCTAATTATTGCTTGACATATTATTGATTTTCTATTGTTATGATTTGTGATGCTTATATTCTATTTGAAATACAAATAAATCATATAGGTTGATAAACATTACAAATAAATGATTAGAACATACAAATCATGATGTGTAAATATTTTTAGTGTATAACCATTTGAAATAAAAATGTAGTGCTGAAATATTAAAAACTTTTCAATTGGAAGACAATTTCTTAACCATTAAAATCTATCTAATGAATCTTTTAAAATTTGTTTCTAGTCTAATTCTCTTCTTCAGATTCGTAACCAGTTGCCATAGTTTCTTATGTTCATGTTGACATTTTCTTGATTCCCTTCTCATTTTTTATGTATTTTTTTCTTAGGTTCAGTGAAGAATTTCTGAGCCTTTACCTATTCTGGAACATTTTATGGTGGATTCACATTTGATTTTTAGTTTAGATAGATATAAATTTTAATTTTCAAAACTCATTTAATCTTTAAAGACTGTTGTAGCATTCAGTGATGTTAATGGGAAGTTTGGTGCCAAACTGATTCTTTTTAGAAATTCTCTTTTTTTCCTCTGGAAGTTCTTGAGATTTTTCTCTTTATTCTTGACTTTTGTACTACTTTCTATGGCTGGCCATAATAAAGTATACACTGAAAGTCTTAAAACAACACTGTCTCCCTATCTGAAGTCAGGGTGTGGGCAGCACCAGGCTCTCCCCAGGCTCCAGGGAAGGATCTCTCTGCTTCCTGTGTTTGCTGACAGTTGTTGGCTGGCAGCTGAGTAAACCCAATCTCTGCCTCCATCTTCACATGGCGTGCTTCCCTCTGCGTGTCTCTCTATCTCTTCTCCCCTTCTTATGAGGACACCAGCCAAATTGGATTAGGGCAGATCCTAATTCAGTATGACCTCAATTCAACTTGATTATATCCACAAAGACCCTATTTCCAAATAGGGACACGTTCACAGGTATTGATGATCAGAACTTTCAGGTATGCTTTTGGGGGACACAGTTCAACCTATAACCATATTCTAAAATGTTACCAAAATATGATCAGTGTACTTAGTGATCCAAACAGTGGGCCCTTTTAGTTTGGAGATTTGCATCTGTCTTCAGCCCATGGATATTGTCTCCTGTTTTTTTTTAAATCATTTATTCCTTCCATTTTGTCTGCTTTTTTCTTTCTGGAACTTACACGTGTTAGGTATATAACTTCCCGGAGTTACACTCCCAATTTCATTATCCCTTGTTTTATTTTCCCTTTTAATCTTTTATGCTTTATGTTTCACAAGATTCCTTGACTTCCTTTTCAAGATTACCAACTTTGTTCCTATCCTTTTCTTTTCCATCTGGTTTTTGAAGTTTTTATTTGTGAATAATACACACACACACACACACACATACACACACACACATACACACACATATGTGGTGTTGGTGGTGGTGGTGCTGAGGAACTCAGGGCCCATGCATGCTAGGCAAGTGCTGTAACATTGAGCTATATCCCCAACATTTTTTATTTTATTTTGAGACAGGGTCTCACAAATTTTCCAGGCTGGTTTTTGCAGTCCTTCTACCTCAGACTTCTGAGCTGGGATTATAGGCATGCTCCACTTTGCCCAGATGTCATTTTTAATTGCCAAGATGTCATTTTTCTGATATTTTGGAAGTAGTATGTGATCAGATTTTTCTGAGGACAGTTATTAGAACTATGTAAATATTTTTTTTCTCTCCTTGAATTATCTCTGTTTTACCTGTTGGTCAATTAGTTATTCTTTTTTAAAGTTTATTCCAATTAGTTACACATGAGAGTACATTTGACACATTACATATAAATGGAGTGTAACTTCTTATTCTTCTAGTTGTGCATGTTGTAGAATCACACCTTTCATGCAATCATGTATGCACATAGGGTTGTAATATTTGATTAATTCTACTATTATTTCTACCCCATATATCTTCTCCCACTTCCCTTCTCTCTATATAATCCAAAGTACCTCTATTCTTCCCTGCCACCCCTCTATTGTGGGTTAGCATCCACATATGGTTTTTTAGGATTGGCTTTTTTCACTTAGCATGATGGTACCCAGTTCCATTCATTTACTGGGAAATGTCATAATTTGTTCTTCTTTAAGGCTGATTAATATTTCATTGTATAAATGTACCATATTTTCTTTATCCATTCATCTGTTGAAGGGCACCTCAGTTGGTTTCATAGTTTAGCTATTGTGAGTTGAACTGCTATAAATATTGATGTGGCTGCGTCACTGTAATGATTTTAAGTCCTTTGGGTATAAACCGAGGAGTGGGATAACTGGGTCAAATGGTAGTTCCATTCCAAGTTCCTCAGAGAGGAATCTCCATACTGCTTTCCATAGTGGTTGCACCAATTTGCAGTCTCACCAGTAGTGTATGATTGTACCTTTCCCCCCGCATCCTTGCCAACATTTATTGTTGCTTGTATTCTTAATAGTTGCCATTCTGACTGGAGTAAGTTGTTTCCTTATGGTCCATGGTGGTGTGTTCATAATTGTGGAGGTCTGTAATGATTGGCATGGCTGGCTGGCATGGTTTTTCATTGCAGTTTGAAGGGTCTGTTTCTCTCAGCATCCTTGCATAAGTGATGGAACTGACCTGGAGTTCTATGGAAGGGGCTGAAAAATCATATGCAGACTTTCCCTTAGGGTGTGTGTGTGTGGGGGGGTGGGGCGGGTGTGTATGTGTGTGTAGCCAAAAATAGGCTGAACATCCCAACAAGTGTTAAAATAAGGGAGCTTTGCTGGGAGTTGGAGTCTTCAACGTATTTTCTCTCTGTTGGACCTGCCTTTTCTCTTTTCCTCCTATCTCCCCCATATCTGATGATCTTTGGAGTTACTTCAATCTCTGTTCTGCTCCTTGGTCAAGTCCTAGCACCTTTGTTAGGTGTTCTTTCTAGTTAGGTATTCTAATTTCCTGAAAGAACATTGCTCCATTTCTCCAAATGTATCCTCTGGGTAAAAACTGCTACTGCCAACTTCTCTGTTTCTGCTAATCACTGGATGGAGGGCCTTACCTTCTTGCTTTTCAAGTGTGATTCTTTGATGAGTTGCCCAGATGACACCATCTTCCTGATACACCTAATATGGGTTGACTGTGCCCCTAGGAAGATCTGTTCTAACTCAGTGCTCTTGAGGGACAGCTTCTGTTCCTGATTCTCTGATGGAGCAATGCCATTCTCATTCTGTCTTTCAGAAATGCCTCAACATTTCCTTTTCCTTGTGGCAAGCATTCTCATTTTCCAGTGTTATCATGATATAAGTCTGCGAAATGCAAATTTCAGGGGATCTTGGGGGAAAAAACATGTACTATGGGTCATCTTACAATATAGATTTTTAAAATGGGTTTCTTTATTTCTACTGTCAGATGTATCACATGCAATTTTGTGTCCATATGTATGTGTGTGTGTGCGCACAAACACACACACAGACACATACCAATTAAGTTAATGAATGAATTGGCAGAATGTGTTTTCCGTCTGCTGTCTTATTTCCTTTGGCATCTGGAAAGAAAAAAACTCTCCATGGCTTTTATATAATGTTTTCCTGTGTTGATACTGTATGAAGTGTGTTTTAAAGATTAATCACTGGGAAATCAAATAAGTTCTTGAATGTTTACTGGACCCACTTTACTCATTGGTCTGAAGAATTGAAATATTTTTAAAATGATTTAATAGTAGAGTTTAAGAATTTGCTATTTTTCTTTTTTATGTGTTTTATGTTCATGTACGTATGGGGATAGTTTATAAGAGGCTTTAGTCAAATTAAGAGGAAACTATTTGAAATCTTTATTTTACAGCAAAAAATCGTGGGATTGCCATTCCAGTGGATTTGGACAGCCAAGTCAATACTCTTTTCATGAAGAGTCATTCAAATATGGTGCAGAGAGCAGCCATGGGTTGGAGACTCTCAGCTCGTTCTGGACCACGCTTTAAGGAAGCTCTTGGAGGGCCTGCTTGGGATTATAGAAATATTATTGAAAAGTTACAGGTATAATGAGAATATGAAATGACATTAATATTTTATAAATTATAATTTTTAAAAGATGAATTTCACAAAGAAGATATGTTGAAAATATTCTATTCTTTTTGGGGACTAGGTTTTATTTTACAACTCTCTACCACACTACCCTTTTAAATGCATAACTTTCAGGTAAAAGTTGTGAGTTATTTTTTAGTGACTGTACATTATTTAATATGTTCTAATATTGTAGTAGTGAGTAGTGATTCTTTTTTTTTTTTTTTTTGGTACTGGGGATTGAACTCAGAGGCATTCTACCACTGAGCCATATCCCCAACCCTATTTTCTATTTTTATTTAGAGACAGGGTCTCACTGAGTTGCTTAGCACCTTGCTTTTGCTGAGGCTGGCTTTGAACTTGCGATCCTCCTCCCTCAGCCTCCTGAACTGCTGGGATTACCAGCATGCACCACCATACCCAGCTGAGTAGAGATTCTTAATATCAGAATAATAACGATAATGCCAGTACTAAAATTGGTAAAATAGTTGACCATATAGATTTATATAATAAATTAAATATCCATAACCTTGCTTCAATTTCTCTCTCAGTATTATTTTATAACCTTTTGGGCAGAATGATCCAAGCACCTTTATTCACAAATTACTTGCGTAGAGTCTCACTCATGCTTTTGATCTGGACATTCTGGGATATTGAATGAAAGACATAATGTATTAGTTTGCTAGGGCTGCTCTAACAAAAAACAAAAACAAAAACTATCGGTAGGGTGGTTCGAACAACAGAAACTTATTTTCTCACTGTTCTATAGGCTAGAGGTTCAAGATCAAGGTATCAGTAGGCTTGGTTTCTTCTGAGACTTCTCTCCTTAAATTATAAATGGCTAATTTCTCACTGGGTCCTCACATGGTTTTCCCTCTGCACATGTGCACATTTGTGCCCCAATTTCTTCTTGTTATGAGGACATCAATCATATGTATCCTTATAACCAATCATACCAATCATATGTATCCTTATAACATGTATCCTTGGATTAAGTCCCGCTTATATAAATTCATTTTATCTTAATTACCTTTTAAAAGGCCCTATCTCCAAATAAAGCCACATTCTGTGGTACTATGAGAGAGGACCTCAACATATGAATTTGGGGGAGATGATTAGGTCATCAGGGTGAAAACTGTATAAATAAGATTTGGTGCCCTCATAAAATAGGCCCAAGGAAACTCATTTGGCCCTTCTACCCTGTGAGAACCCAGCAAGATAGCACTCTTGGTGAATCAGGAGGTGGGCCTTCATGGGATGCCAAATCTGCTGGTGACTTGATCTTAGATTTCCCAGACCTCAAGATTATGAAAAATAATTTCTATCATTTTTAAGCATCCAGTTTATGGTATTTTGTTATAGCAGCCTGAATAAACTAAAATACACGATAAAGCATTTGGATTTTGTTCTGAGTGATGGCAGGTTAAGAGATTTTTAGCAGAGGACAGACATGACTAGTGTATATTTAAAGAGATCTCTGTGGATTTTGGGTGGTGTTTATAGAATCCAGACATGGAAATAGTGAGTTTAGTTAGGTATTTTGACATTAGTTCAAGCAAAAGGTGATGATGGCTTGGTTTAAGAAGGAATTGGGGGAATTTTAAGTTTGAGATGCCTATTTAGATACTTCAGTGGTTGAGTCAAGAGAGGTAGTTAGATGTACAAGTCTGGATTGGTGTGGGATGATGTTCATCCTGGAAATATAAATGTGCTGTTGCAACTGATACATGATATCAAAATCATAGAGTTGGATGAGATCTCTCAGAAGAAAATGTAGTCAAAGAAGAAGACCAGGAGCTACCAGGGATCGACAAAGGAAAGGTCAGGACAGGACCCAGGTGGGAAATAAATTGCAGTGTAACAGAGGCCAAGAGAGAAGACATTTCAGAGTAGGAACCAGTACACAAGATACTTTAGCAGTGACTCGGTTAGATGAGGACTGTGGAGTAAGTAACCGGAGATTGTGACCACAGGTGATGATCATGGAGCACTGATGTGCAGTCACAGTGATTGCTAACATGTGAAATGAGTCAGAGGCCAGCATATTCTAGCCACTTCCTTTTAATCCCCCCAGCAAGCCCATGTGATCACTAGTATCATTCTCCCAAGTTTTCACGTGGGGAGAGTGACTCAGATTACATAGTTGGTCCAGGATCAAAATCAGAAGTAAAGATAAAATTTACAACATAGTAGCCTGAGTACCATTCATTCAGTAAATGAAATAAAGAGAGGAGAAAAAAAAATCCCTAGGTGTATTTCAGGTACACTTCACTAAATATGATCACATATAATAAGCATGCCCTCTTCTCACCTTTATATGATCTCTGGTTTCCCCCTTGATGTATGGACTTCCTGCTAGTCACCTTTAACTGATGTCAGGAATTTCTCAGAAAGCTGATTTAGAATAGTAAGTAGAAATAATCACTTTTGCTGAAAGGTTAAGAAAGACTTAAAGATAAGTCAGCTCCTGATTTCTGGCCATAAGAAATCCAGAGGGTGGTGGCCCCATCTGAGTTTCTGTAGCTGAGAGTAACAAGAAGCAGTTTTCTGCTTAACAAAATATGCCATAGCTGTGGGTGGATAAATTGTTGCTTATGTGAGAAGATTTTTTTTTGCTTGTTTCCTAATGTAGTTTAAAAATAAAAAGGAGATGCTTTAACCATTAAAGAATGTTCAAGAAATTATAACCGCTTATAGTTTATTTAGAAACACATCAGTTAGGATGTTTCCAGCTTAAATATCACAGTGTTCAAATAAAATGGCTTAAACAATAATGACTGTCATTTCACGCAACAGGAAGCCTATGTGGCTTTCCCTGAGAGGGCTAATTCAGCAGTGGATAGGCCATGTCTGCTGGCTTTTGGTTTAAAGCTGATCTCCCAAAGCCACATGAGGGCTGGCTCCCTTGGATTCACACCTTTAAGCTCCCTGGAGAACAGTAGATGGTTTCAAAAGATTCTTCCAACTCCCAGCACATCTGCAGACTTCACCTGATGTCTCATTGGCTGGGACTGTGTCATATAATCAGGCTAAGGTCAGCTGCTAGAGCCGGAGGTGGACTAGCTTAATCTAATCAACTTTGACCCAGAGCTGAGGGGTTCATCTCCTTAAGAATGTTGCTGTCAGATTCAGAAACAATATTCAGATTCTTGTAGCAAGAAAGGGGTGAAAATAGGCCATGGGGTAGGTGATCATTAGAGTGTATTGATAAATATAATTTGAAATACTATTGAATGTCATTGAACCCTTGTACTATTATGCTTCAAATAATATATCAGTGGGTTTTTCCGTTGGAAGAAATGGTTAGTTCTAGATGACCAATGACACATCTTTTTTTTTTAGCTGTACCCCAAATAGGCCTCCAATTTATTCCAATTATTCATGATTCCTTTACAGTCCTAGACACTTAATGGCCTGTACAATGGCTTTAGTGAGTTTTATTCTTGTGTGTATATTCTTTAAAATCTTATGGTTACCCACCCTTTCTTTGTCTTATAAGTGAAAACAAAAACAAAACAAAAAAACCCAGAGGCCCAGGCAGTACTTATACATAAAACCAGACTAGACTGATAGCACAGACATTTGGTGCCATAGGGAGATAGGGTCCATCTACTCTGACATTCCTGGTTAGTATTCTTAGGTTTACTATGTCTTTGAAAGATAAAGTCTGACTTAGTCTTCCAATGGGTTCTCTTGTGCTTTGTGTCTTAGGATGTCGTGGCCTCCCTGGAACAACAGTTCAGCCCAATGACGCAGGCTGAATTCTCAGTGTTGGTTGATGTATTGTACAGTCCAGAACTGCTGTTCCCTGAAGGAAGTGATGCAAGAATCAGATGTGGCACGTTCATGTCCAAGTAAGTGGATTGGGTCTGAGATTCTGCTTGTTTCCCAAAGTGTGAAGGCCTCTAACATCTCTGCTTTTTACTTATGACAATACTTATGACAATCTACAAAGCATGTGCAGGGTCTAAAAATCCATGTCAAAATATACTTTCCAAATAATTGAATTGGGTCATTTGAAGTTTCATTTTGGTGATGGTCAATTTATTCTATTGTACTAAAATGTACTACAAATGAAGTGTTTCATTATTGGGCACAAAATATCACACAAAATAATATTTTGGTTCTAATTCCTTCCTTTAACTATGTAGTACAAACTTTTAAGAGATTCTTGTTTAAAGTCATTAATTTTCAGAGAGGGAAAGGAAGAGGAATTAACATTTATTGAGTTGTTACTATGTGTACAATTATTACTTATTATTTTATGTGGTCAGCATAAACACCTTGAGAGATTGGGAGGTCAGCCTGTTTCAGAAGTCAGTAAGTTGATGTGTAGGCATGTTTCAGGTAAATGAGCTATTAAGTGTTAGTCTCAGTACTTAGTCATGCCATCATGATTCTCATCTGCAACTCTTCCATTTACTCCTTTATCTCAGCATTGTTGAGGTCTTATCATAAAGCCCCCATGTTTACCCTAGATTATTCTTTTCTTAATGCTAAGTGGAAAACTCTCAGGGAGGATCTGCGTGTATAAGCAGGTGTAAGAAAAAGCCTAGCTCCTGAAAGAAGAGTCATGTTACTGAATGATTTGCATTTCATTGCACATAGACTCATGATGCCCAGTCAACCAGGTGAAATGGCTCATGTCTGTAATCCCAGAAACTCACAAAGCAGAGGCAGGAGGATTGCAAGTCCAAGGCCAGCCCCAGCAATTTAGTAAGACCCTCAGAAACTTAGCAAGACCCTGTCTCAAAATAAAAAGTAAAAAGGCCTGGGGATGTAGCTCAGTAGTAGAGCACCCTGGGTTTAATTTTCAGGACAAAAAAAAAAAATAATAATGAGTTGGCTAGTCGGTTGCATGGTCTTCCAAAGAGAGTATATGGATGGAGTCAGTTGGATCAAGTGACCAAGTACCTTGACCATTTTCCATTCAGCTGTATTTTGTGTGGTTAAGGATATTACTGAGAGAGATCTAGAAACCTTCTCCATTGACTTGGCGTACTGAGATAGAAATGGAAGAACTGGGGACACAAAAAGTGTGTTCCTTTTTTAACAAGTTCCGGTTGGGACTTTGAGAAAGCAAATAACGAATGTGATGAGAAGAACTGACTCTAGGGATCATGTTGAATGCTACAGATGGTCAGAATTAAGGACTCTCAGCTCTAGACTCACTATATCTTAGGGGGCTGGAGAATTGCCAGTCTTCTGGTAAGTACCTTTAAGTGAGGCGGTTCAGAGTGTCTGCAAAAGTGATGACTGCTGAGAACATAGAAAGCAAATTCTAGGTAGAAGTATTGCCTAGTAACTCAATATAAAAACATGGTCTTAAAAATACCCTTCACAGATAGTGAAAGCATCCATAAATTTCTTAAGTCATATGATCTGCCCAGATTGAGTCAGGAGGATATAGACAACCTAAACAGACCAATATCAATTGAGGAAATAGAAGAAACCATCAAAAGACTACCAACTAAGAAAAGCCCAGGACTGGATGGGTATACAGCAGAGTTTTACAAAACCTTTAAAGAGGAACTAATACCAATACTTTTCAAGCTACTTCAGGAAATAGAAAAAGAGGGAGAACTTCCAAATTCATTCTATGAGGCCAACATCACCCTGATACCTAAACCAGACAAAGACACTTCAAAGAAAGAAAACTACAGACCAATATCTCTAATGAACCTAGATGCAAAAATCCTCAATAAAATTCTGGCTAATCGGATACAAAAACATATCAAAAAAATTGTGCACCATGATCAAGTAGGATTCATCCCTGGGATGCAAGGCTGGTTCAATATACGGAAATCAATAAATGTTATTCACCACATCAATAGACTTAAAAATAAGAACCATATGATCATCTCGATAGATGCGGAAAAAGCATTCGACAAAGTACAGCATCCCTTTATGTTCAAAACTCTAGAAAAACTAGGGATAACAGGAACATACCTCAATATTGTAAAAGCAATTTATGCTAAGCCTCAGGCTAGCATCATTCTGAATGGAGAAAAATTGAAGGCATTCCCTCTAAAATCTGGAACAAGACAGGGATGCCCTCTCTCACCACTTCTGTTCAACATAGTTCTCGAAACACTGGCCAGAGCAATTAGACAGACGAAATAAATTAAAGGCATAAAAATAGGAAAAGAAGAACTTAAATTATCACTATTTGCAGGTGACATGATTCTATACCTAGCAGACCCAAAAGGGTCTACAAAGAAACTATTAGAGCTAATAAATGAATTCAGCAAAGTGGCAGGATATAAAATCAACACGCATAAATCAAAGGCATTCCTGTATATCAGCGACAAATCCTCTAAAATGGAAATGAGGACAACCACTCCATTCACAATATCCTCAAAAAAAAAAAATACTTGGGAATCAACCTAACAAAAGAGGTGAAAGACTTATACAATGAAAACTACAGAACCCTAAAGAGAGAAATAGAAGAAGATCTTAGAAGATGGAAAAATATACCCTGTTCATGGATAGGCAGAACTAACATCATCAAAATGGCGATATTACCAAAAGTTCTCTATAGGTTTAATGCAATGCCAATCAAAATCCCAACGGCATTTCTTGTAGAAATAGAGAAAGCAATCATGAAATTCATATGGAAAAATAAAAAACCCAGAAAAGCAAAAACAATGCTAAGCAGGAAGTGTGAATCAGGCGGTATAGCGATACCAGACTTCAAACTATACTACAGAGCAATAGTAACAAAAACAGCATGGTACTGGTACCAAAACAGGC